CGTGAACCCTTTGAAGGCACACACGTCACAGAAAACCCTGCGAGGAATTGGGCACTGTGCCAGTTGGTGTTCTTCTCCACAATTGTAGCATTCATCATTGTGGGGAGGGGAATAATTAGCCACCATCTTCAACAACGCACTGGGCTTACTCGTACTTGGCTGTGGTTCCTTAGGCGTTGAGTAGTTTTGTTCACCCTTTCGGGATGTTTTCTGATCAGCTTTAAGGTTCGGTTGGTTAGTTAGAGGAAATTGTTTTCCCTTTGCATTGTTGGTGTTGGGTTTCTGAGACTTCGAACATTGGGCCGAATTGGATTGATGACACGATTGATTTCGCGATTGTACCCTCGAATCCCCTGAACCCCTCGTACCCACATTGATGGCACAAGCTTCCCGCTTGTTAGGTTCGAAAACTTTGGAAAAAGCTGAGAAATCGGTTGCATCTAACTCCTTCCCAATATGGGTTAAATCCCTTAAAGTTCGTACATTTCTGCCTATGAGAGCCTTCCGACAATCGTAGCGCAAATTCGTTTTAAGAATCTCGACTTTTTCTCCGTCTGATATCGGATTGTTCATAGCCTGGAACAACCTATCTATTTGCATATAATAATGCTGGAATGACTCACCTCTCTGCTGGCGAGTCTGATAAATTTTAGTACGGAGTACTGAATCGAGGTCGGGATGTCGAAACTCATTCTTGAGTTCGTGGATCAAGTGATCCCACCCAAATAAAGAATTTTGATTTCGTCGGGCCGAATACCAGCTCAACACAGCCCCGTCGAACAAATGAATAGCCGAATCGAACAAGTCCGCCTCGGTGGCATGTTCCGAGATAGCTAACTGTTGGACATGCGATAGAAAACTGTTTAATTCCAAACCTTGATCGGTTCCTGAATATTTTTTTATCTTCCACTGTGATACGGGTATCACCTTCCGCTGCGGGGTAAATATCGGGGCTGGTTGAAACGACTGCCTGTCCGGAACAGGGGGAAGGACAGGGAGAAAAGGATTTGTCGAGATACCCGACACCGACGATGTAAACGATAGGTCATTTATTCTTTGATGAAAAGAGCTGTTTAGCCTATCTTCGCCAACCCCCGTTGATTCTATGCGAGGTACCCTTTCTCTAGTGGGATTTCGAGATCCTAGGTGGGGCCCCGTTTCCCTCTCAATATCCGCCCAGTTCACCCTTGGAGCTGTATTATCCCGAAATGGATTAGTGTTATTTGCATCAAGTTGCCTGGTGCTTGGAGGGTTGTTCTTCAACTCATCTCGCAATCCGTTGACCTGAGTGGCTAGCGCTTTTATCAGAGTACCAATTTCGGTGAGGGCTGTGCTAAAGGTTTCCTTTGTAACAAATTCAGTTTGTTGCGGAGTAGATCGGGGAATGGCTCCCGTTCTTCTAGGTGCAGGGGTCGACGAGTGGTCTGTCCCACCTGCAGCTTCGTCCAACAAATTTTCCTCCAAGTCGGCTTCACGATCCGACTCTGCAAAGAATGCGTCCTCGGACCAAAAATGTTCAGAAAAGACACCCAGTATCGCTCGAAACTCTTCCAAAGCTTGAGTTCGAAGCTCGCCAAGAGAGTGGTTTTTAATAACCCCAAGCCGATGCCCTAAGTGCAACAAACGAGCTTTGCAAATTACTGCTTCTGCTCGTGACCCGGTGCTAAGAATACGTTCAATTTCGCGACGCAAATATTTACAACTGTCCAGATCTATTTCTGGGTCCATCCCGTAGTGAATAATACATTCCTGACCTTCTCGTTCCTCTTTTAGGATGTGTTTTAATCTTCTACGACGTTTGCACCGCGATTCGTCGTCCGCAATGACGACGTTACGGAGGAGAAGCTCATAATCAAGTTCGCCTGGACTCAGATGATGTACCCGCATTCCGCGATATAGAGTGCTGAAATCGGGGCCGGAAACGGATACGCGCGGAGGCATTTTGTTGCCAAACTCGAAATCGAGGACGAATAAACACGATGTGGAAGGTACTGCTCAAACTTTTACTAAACGAAAGAACTACTAAGCTTCAAACGCCCCTAAGTCTATTGAATTTGAAAGCGGTTTATAGAGAGTAAGGTCAACTGAAGGTGATCACCTAGGCAACGACCCACGAGATCCCAGACTACAAAGTCGGCCTTTGCCACGTGGCTTTCCCACCGCGAACACTAAAGAATTCGTTATTAACCCACTATAGTGCGACCAGATAGGAAAACTACTTTTCAAAAACTACTTTTTTTTTTTTTTTTTTGAAAACTCCCCCAACACTCATGCAGAAAAAATATCCGAAGATATTTTTTCTATCCTGAGAACCACGTATGGATTTTTTTCGTTGGGCGCCAATGAAACTCTTTTTGTTGGTCCCCGGGAGATACTGCGCCGTCCCAGAAGGGGACGTGCCTAAACCCCTGGCTGCTGGTCTAAGCCTGTCGGCAGCCACTGGGGTGGGTACCAAAGGCCTCTTTTGCTCCCGGGTCTCAGGATTGGTAGGTGAGGGGGAATTTTCGGTTCTGAGATTTCCTAACTAACACAGTATATGAATTTACCTTCACAATTTTTATTGGGCGGATCGATGGGGACTGGTGTGCGAGGCGACGTTGACTGTCACGACGACGGAATGGAACAGCCGGATGGTAGTGACCAGATGGTAGTGGCCGGTTGGCAGTGGCCGGATGGCAATGGCCGGGTGGCGGCGGCCAGATGGCGGTGGCCGGATGGCGGTGGCCGAATGACAGTGGCCAGCTGACGGTGGCCGGATAGCGGTGGCCAAAGGGTGGTGGCCAGATAGCAGGGGCCGGATGGTGGTGGCTGTATGGCTGGGCCGTATGGCTGGGCCGAAGGCGGTGGCCGAAAGCGGTGGTCAAAAGGCGATGGGAAGATGGCAATGGCTGGATGGCGACGGCCGGATGGCGATGGCCGGATGGCAACGGCCGGATAGCGATGGCTGGATGGCGATGGCCGGATGGCAATAACCAGATGGCAGTGTCTGTATGGCAGGGGCCGGATGGCGATGGCCAAATTGCGATAGCCAGGTAGCGATCCCGAAACACGTGGCCAACGCTCTTGCACCGTGATCGACGAGCAATCACCCCAAGTACAAAAAAACTCCAACACTCACTCGCACCTCGTAGAAAAAACCGACCTTTCTCTTATCACCGCCTGCAACTTACTGCCTATCCTCTCTCTCGGCCGAACGATCGCTCACCTCCTCCTCGACTCTCAGCTTCCCCCGTTAATCTCGTAGCTGGTTTCCGTCTCCCATAGAGGAGTGACAAGTCGGTGGTGGTTCAGTGGACAGTGGTCACTTCGCCCATGCAGCAAAACACCTCCATCATCGCTGTGCCCTACCTTATCGGTCCCTTTAAAAGTGACGTTATGGAGCTATCTAAATTAGCAAAACTGACCCTACTCTTACACCACCTCAATCAAATGTTACGAACCGGTAACAGTGTAATGTTATAATTATAAGATTAATTATATGACAGTATACAAATAGATTTCGAAGGTTAAACACGAGGTTAAATATACCATCAAGCTAAGAAATCATTCAAATTATATAGTATTTCATAACTTGAAGCTTTTTGAAGTTATCACCATCTAACTTTTTCTTTAAACTATCCATATTTATCACTTTTTGTACTTTTTTAAAACGAAATAAAGGCACTCGACAAGGCACACCAAGTATGTCAGCAACGTTACGGTGCAACAAAGATATTTTTCACCCAATAATGGGTAAAAATGTGCCCATTTTTTAACCGGAAAACAGGTTTCGGGAATGGGTGAAAAAGTACCCACTATTTGAAATTTTCATTTACGAGTTTTTTTACAGCTCCATACACTACCACAAAATGGGTAATTTTTCACTCATTAATGAGTACTCACCAGTTACAGTGTACGCTATTTCAAAACTACCCAAATTTGGGTATAATCCACCCAGATCGGTCAAAACTGAACCTACCCAAAAATTGGTAAACTTTGCTGGGAGTTACAAGTTGACAAGTGAACAACATCGACATGAATGCGATCGACATTGTTAATTTGGTAACTTGTCACTCCCTACATAGTTTACCCATTTTTGGGTAGGTTCAGTTTTGACAGATATGGATGGATTCTACCCAAATTTGGGTGGTTTATAAATAGCGTGTACTAAAAATAAATGCAATTTGACAGAAATAAAAAAAAACCATTTTCACCCACTTTCCATCTGTGAATCAATCGTCACTCTGATTCTTCAATACAATTATTGATGAATTTACGTTACGGTCGACCAGCAGATGGAAATGATGTGAAAATGATAACGACGTTTTGCTACCTGTCATCACAGAGAACAGACGTTGAAGCTCGGTCAGAAACTTGTGTAAAATAAGTGGGAACGTCGCCGTTACGTGGTGTTAGCATCTCCTGATTTTCTCTATAAATTTTCCACTTTCGACCAATTTGGCGCTAGTATCGATAAATTTTCTGTTGAAAATTGCCACTTGGCGCTACTAGCACTTAGGGCCGTTTTCTTCACTCCCGCATAAATCTTAAACCAGGCTTACCCATATAGTTAAACCTGGATTAAGGCTTAAGGGGAGGTGAAGAAATCGCCCCTTAGTGTCTAGTGTAATTTGTGCAACGCCAGCGCCATCATGTTGTCAAAGAGGGTTTTTAAGTGGGGAAGTCACCGTTAGTGGCGCTTAAGTCGAATAGGAATCTTTACACAAGTTTTTAGAGAAATTTTGTTCGAGCCTCCATGTCTGTTCTCTATGGTTTCGCGTAAATTCATAAATATTATAGTACGTCCAGTACGTCCATAACATGTTATAACTGCAGAGTCTGTTTTTTGTTGTGTACATGGTTTGAAAAATGGGTATTTTTTACCCATTAATGAGTTTTCGCGAAACACCGTGTATGCATTAAACAATTTCAGTCATGGATTATAGTGCCATGTGTTTCGACGCTTGATGCTGAATCCCTTATCATATTTAAAAAAAAAAATGTCAAAAGCGCTTCATCAGCAAAACCGGACCAGAAACCGAAAAGATTTCACAATCCCCAGCAGGAAATTGTAATTCCTCGTGGTTTTGTGAGTTTAATTGACCAATTCTTCAGTAATCAGCGCAGTTTTATGCGTTAAAACAAGAAAACCCTAATCTCTGTTTAATTCCGTTTGAAATTATGTCCAGTAGTGAGCTAACACCAAAGGAAACACTGGTAAGTATGCGGATATTTTTTTTGTGTGTTTACGATGGTTGCTTCTATTCCATAAAATGTAATGTTACAAACATCATAAAGTAATATAACCTATTATCAAATATTGAAGAGCAGAAACGAAGCACTGGGAAAGAGTTCCTCCCAAGCGGTCCTAATCGTAGCGCCTATCATATTAATCACTGCATAAGAATTCTATATCATCTGAATTTGTGGCTTCCTCGGGTAGAAATTTGACACCTATCTTTGTTTGTATCGAGGTTAGGGATCCCTCGGATGAGTGAATCTACATCAGAATTGCCCAGCGTCGATTTTCTACACAACATATAGCGTCAACCTGTCTTCGATGGTAAGATAAGCTAATGGAGTGAACCCCCGGCGGGTGGTAAGACTATAGATTGTAAGGTTCATATTCGTAATTTGATGTGCAGAACCGTATACGATATGTTTCAATGTTCAGCCAGACTGCTATATTTTACCAAATAATTCAACACCAAGGGGAAAATCATTGTTTTTGTTCGAATAGAAAATAGCGTTAATTTGCTTGTCACCGAAAATTGCAGTTGAACGACGCCGTCGTTTCAATATCAACGATAAAATCAAAGAACTCGGCACTCTGCTGCCTCGCAACATTGAAGGTTCCAGCAGCGATATCAGCGGAAAGGATGGCAGAGTCAACAAGGGAACCATCCTGAAAGGGACGGTCGACTACGTGAAGGAACTGAAGCAGGAAGTCAGCGCGTTGCGTCGGAATGGCGACCTGTTGGTTGCCATCAAAAACGAGAACGTCATCTTACAACACAAGTTATCGGTAATTTACTATATACATATTGGGTATAACATGGTACATTCGACTATCCCATGATTTGATATGAACCTCAGAAAAATATTGTACTAGATGATGAATTTTATTGACCTACATTTATAATAAGCATTACAGCATTTCAGCATAATCATAAATTTGTTTACAGGTTCAGTTTGAGTAAGTATCGTCCAATTCTTAATCTTAACAAGGCATTTCCATTCTGTTAATTGTTGAACATTTTATCATTTATGAATTGACAGAGATATTGCTGGGAGGAATTCTACCCGATGCTTGAGTTATAGGTACAAATGATCCAGGATATCGCTACTCATTCCATATACTAACAATTTATCACTTCGAAGCCATTTGTTAGATCAGCCAATGTTCAAACAGCTTAGTCCTTGAACATAACCCCTTATTGTAATTCATTGTTGTGAGCTTCGTGTGGCTAAAGGGCGTCACCAATCATTGAAGGGTTTTGTGTGCCACTTAATGTAGCTTTTACGCATAAGATTCCGTAAGGATTGCATAGAACATGGGACGGTATGACACATTTGACGAAGTAGTGCTACACCCTATCGGTAGCCCGTAAAGGTCGTTCGATAGAAATATTGCAAAGCTTTCCATATTTCAGACTACGAAAACTATTCTAATCGAGGAATTAGAAAATTGTTATTGATAGATTGCTTAGCTTAGCTAGAATTTATTTAATTATTTATTTGAAGTTAGGAAACGAGCTTATATTCAAACATTGGCAGCCTTTCGAGTTTTCAGTTTTCGTAGGCCACTAAGTCCTTGAATAAAACCGTACTTATGTAATTAATTCATTATATCGTTTGCTTGTCGTTTGAACATTATTGAAGCATTTTCGTGCAGTTTTCATCATTCCGTTTTAACATTTTATTGCTTTATTGCAGCCATGCTAAGCCAAAATTGCTTTTTCCTTTTGAACAGCCAAAGATCGACCAGCAGCTGGCGCCCACCAAGCAGGGCATCGTAAGGGTAAAGTTCTACCTCTACGTTGAGATGTGCGAAAACAATCTGCAGCTGGAGAACCACGTCAAAAGGCTGCAGAACTTGCGTAAAGAACTCAACCACATCAAGGACACCGACTGGCAGTACGAGTCGATCGACAAATTCTTTGGACAAAACTAGACGAATTCGGACTAGATTTTCATGAGTGATTATAGGTGATGACTGTATAGCGTGTCAGTGAAATAGGCAAAAAAGGACGGCGTGCTAGTTTATATGAATTTTGAGTTGGAAAAGTGTGAACAGAGAAAATGTTGCGTTTAGTTAAAAAAGTGATGCTGGATCTGGTCTCCAGCATTGGTGGCCCGAAGGAAACAGAGGAGGAGAAAATCAAACGGCTGGAAGCTCTGTTAGAAGATAACGACGGAAAGGACGATGAAGAAGAGCAGTTACGATTGGAAGAAGATGCAAAAAAGGAAATAACGGCAACCAATTGCTTTCTACAGACAGGTAAAACTATAGCTCTAAAACTAGTAAATGAAACTTATTTGATGCAAACTTTTCCATGGCAGGGATTGTGACCAAGGTTGAGAGCAACTACATTGTGATTGATATGACGATGAACGTGGAGAAAAAGGTCTTGCAGGCATGCCAGTTTCAACATCAGCTGGAAGTTGGGGTAAAAGTGTCCTACCTGGCGTACAAGGCTCCCCAAAGTGAATCCATCAAAGTAGTCAAACTGGAAGCGGTGTTGAGTGAAGTTTGGGGTGATAAAAAGCAAAAGACGGAGAAGGAAGAGGTAAGTTTGATGAGATTGTAAAATGCATATGTGTATGTGTTACGCATCTCGGAAATGATGGAAAGCAACACCACTTCCATTACGATCGTATTTGAATCCCATGAAACCCTCCTTAATTTTATTGAGATCAATCATTTGTTTTCGGATTTAAAACATATTCCTAGCCTAACTAGTTGTAGATGAAAATACTTCTTATTGGATATCGAGAAAAAATCCCAAGAATTCTGGAAGAGATCCGGGAAAACGGTGATTTTTTCTCTGCAAGAGTTTTGAAATCAACTAGTGAAACAGAGTGAGTTTTACCAAAAAAAATACTTGCTCTTTTTCCTGCATATTTTCCATCTGTTTTTTTATTTTTTTATTTAATTACTCAGCAATTGTTCTGACAGAATTTTCTACTCAGAATTATCATGCAATTTTTCCTTAACGTTGCCAGAACACTCTCCTCGTAATTACCTTGGAAATATCCTTGGAACTCTTTTATGAATATTATTGGAATATTTTTTAGAAACCTTTGAAGCTATCCTGATAGCTCGATTACTTTTAAAATCTTTTCAATATTTTCTTAGAAATCTAGTCAAATATCTCATCTGAATTAGTTCTGAATTTTCCTCAAAAATTCCTTGAAATTTTCCTAATAAATCGTTGAAATTCTCCTCTGAATTTTCTTGAAACATTCCTTAGAATTTTTTTTAAATATTCTTCCATTTTTTTGGAATTTACCTCAGAATACGATTCCTTTAGTATTTTTCTCGAAATTCCATTGAAGTTCTCTTATTCCTCAGTATTCCATTGAAATTATTTTCTGAACACTCTTTAAATTTCTCCTCACGATCTCCATACAATTCTTCCCAGAATCAGCTAGCAATTCTTCTTGAAGTTCTCCTCACAACTCCATTGGAATTCTTTTAAGCATAACATAGCAATTCTTATCAGAAATTGTTTTCTTCTCCCCAGAAATCCGTTGGAAATTAGGACTTTATCTCAGACATATCTTTGAATTCTGGTCATAACTCGTTAAAATTTCGTATCCCCCTTAACACTTCATTTATTTTGAAAACCCTCCTGAAAATTCCATAGGTATTCTAGACATAATTCTATGGAAAATTATCGAATTCCTATCTATTAAGCGTGAAAGCATCTCACAAAAGCGAATCAACATTTTTCCTGCACCTTAGATAGAGTCGCCCCCTCCACAGTGGGACCAATTAAAAAAAAAAAAAAGTGGGGCATGGTCATTTGCGACGAATCTATTGAGTGTAGCTGATGTCTTCTAGAATGTTTCTTCAATTTGGAGTACTTTATTTGAGTAGTGAAATTTTTTCGTTATTTTTATGTTTTATTAAAATTGATGAACATGATTTTGAGAAACTTTTTTTAAGATGACAATTTTATATCTCTCAAGTGAACGAAGTTATAGGGTGGAAATAGAGTACAAACGGTAGTACCCCCTTAAAAACTGTACCATAACTTTTTTGTTTGATTTTTCCAATTTTTTTCAATGTTCTACAAAGTTTTAAGTGCTCTAAAAATCATATTTTTGCTCAAAGAAGCAAATCGCTATCTCTTTGTTTAAAGGATTTCCATCCGTATTTATACTTGTTTAACACTATCTTTAAGGAGGTGTATTTTGCACCAACACCACTGCGACCAGTAATTTGATCTATTGTAGTATATCCCGTGTCCTTAGTTTAGTGCATGTCGTATTACTCCATCACTATTACGAAATGATGAAGTATTCGATTTTTTTTTACAGTTGTCATTCTTGCATTTATCGCAAGGATCCGGCTCTAACTGAAAGGTAAATTTGGATGCATTCAAGTGATCATAACTCAAGAATTAAATAACATCAAAACGTCAAACAAAAGGGTATTTATTCAGCTTTCAAACGATATATAACAAGTTATTACATTTCACCGTTTCGAACGAACTGTCGCACTTTACATGTTGTCACTTCTTTACCGCATGTAGCCAACGGCTGAAAGTCTCCTTAATAAAGATATAAAAAAAAATTCTTTACCGCATCCTCGAAGTTTTTACTTGACAATTGCCCAATATTTTTCGATCGGTCTGAACTCAGGAAAATTCGGAGGATTAATCTCTTTGGCGACGAAATTAACATTGTTTGCAGCATACCATTCTAGTACTTCCTTAGAGAAGTGGCAGCTGGCTAGATCCGGCCAAAACATAACGTTGGTCTTGTGTTGCCGAATAAAGGGTAAAATCCGCTTTTTCAGACACTCTTTAATGTAAACCTTCGACCTCGCCTTCGACGTCATTGTGTGAGATGTGATGGAAACCTTGGTTTTAAGGCCAAAACTGCATATTCCTTGCGAAATCATTAGTTTTCGAGCAAACTTATCAGCAAAAACAAATTTATACCTGGGAAGGGACATCCCCACGACCAGTTTCAGGGTAAAATTTTCTTCCGGAGATTTGTTTATAATCCATTTTGACATATGTTTCGATCCATTAAAATACAGCCATCAAATTTCGTCAAAACTCGTTCGTATAGTAATCGTGCTTGCTTTTTGGCCACTTAATTTTGTTTCAGGGAGCGATTCGGATGTTTACTGGCACAAAAAGACTTATATCCTTCTCTTGAAAGGATGTTACGCACGGTGGAAAAGTTGGAATCGTATTTCTTTGCCAAATCACGTATGGAGACACCTGGGTTGCTTTTCACGTACGTCAACACCTTTCTCCTCAGCTGTTTGTCCCTAGTGCCACTTTTATGATAGATGCGCTGTGCTCTATCCCCACTCAGAGTATCCTTGTAACGTCTGATTACAAGACTCACCGTTGACTTTGGGAATTTTAACACTTTGCTCTTTTTGAGGCAGACCACGAAGGGTTCTCTAGATATTTGTGCACAATTAATTTTCTTTTCTCAAGTTCCATGATCCGTAATTTCGGGATGCGTCGATCAATCGAGAAAAACTTTTCACCAATTTCTTCGTCAATGAAACATCAACAAATGCCTGTCAAAACGTTTTTTGTTCCAACCATCAGGGGCGCGGTGGTGTATTAAACCGTGCGTCCAGATTTACTTTGAATCGAGCTTTATTTATACCCTTCGGAGTGTTGAAACACCCTCTAAAGGGGCGCCCTTTGTCAGTCAAAATTGGATTCCTTAGCAACAAAATTAAGGAATGACATCGATAATGAGCATGCATCAGCACCCTAGTCTTAACCACTTCAACCTAGAGAACAACGAATAGAAGATTAGGAATCACATAGATGAAGACTAACTAACTCATTTTTTCCTTGTTTCAAGATCATCCTCGGTGGACAAAGCCGAATCTTGTCATTATCAACAAGGCATAAATAGTAATAAGGACTAAGATGTGTTCCTTTGATTACTGAAAAATCCTGTTCCCCTAGATTGAAATAGTCAGGGCTATGAAGCGGTGGTAGATCTTAGCAGGTATTAGCAGCTAATCTCAACGTTATTTTGTTCAAAATCTTATACCCTACTATATAAAGAGAGAGAAAAGGATTCGTAAGTGCTAATCCTTCTCTCTCCCTCTCTTTATACAGGTATTCCACTAAGATGCCCACATTCATCAGGATTTATACCCTACTGTTAACTACAAATACAATTGATAGGGGGATCCATGAGGATTTCTAATGAATTTTCTAATAAAGTACCTCAATGTTTTGATACGTTCAGGGCTGGAGCTCATCTCAGAACGTTAACAAAGCAACTTCATGCATGCATCTCACAACACTCGACAAAGAGTGTGTGGTTCTCCCATTTACTTGGCTCACTCTTTTCGCTCTTTTCCAACTAATATGTGCGAAAGCGATACACACAATGAGCGGTACACTTCGTGCTGCGCAGGGAGCGAATATAATACAACAAGCGCTAATGTCTCACAGGAGATGAAGAAGGGCACAACGAATAAGAATTAATCATGTTTTGTTGTTTTTGACATCATCCACATCCAGAGGGCCAGTCACTTCGAATGTATGGGAATGGTAGGAAACCATTTGGAAATACATGAAAATTTTCAGTTTTTATTCATTATCGTCTTTATGGGTAGTTTTAGATGCACAAAAATTGCACGAGTACATTACTATGGTGTGAAAGCATGTTTAGTCACAAATCGTGGATTTTCTGATATTCTCCATACTGCAAAAATGATTTTACTACCACTGAAGGGGTGACATCTCTCGGATCTTTAGTATATTTAGCTACTACTCAAATCATATAATTAATTGTGTCTTTTTGCTGGGTTTCCCATTTGCAACCCTACACTGAGTGGCGCTCTTTGCGTCGGAGCCGTCAGAGCGATGGCTACACATTGAGCTTTCGTTATTTCTGGGGGTGTGCCTATCTTCTCTTATCCGTTTCTTTACACTTGCGCAGGGTGAAAGACAAGCAAACTTTGTGTTTGCTTGATTTTCACTTTGTTTATTTCCGAAAATCAGTACATTGCGCGCATTGAGTGATCAGATGACAGCCCTGGTTAAGTTTTTCTATTTTCATGACCATTTTTCCAAGTATGTATGTACATTAGGGTCGGTTACAGCTTCGACAAAGTTGTTTGGTATAGTATTCTCAATTTAAGTCCGAGTTTTGGTGAAATTTGAGCAATATTTGGATGTTTGGTAAGCAGATTAATAGGATCGTTCCGTTTCCCATAAAAATCGAGTTTATAACCAAATTCGTTCCAATTTGGCCGCTGGGGACCTCAATAAGTATTAAAGAGCAGTGGTGAACACACCCTAATGTAAATACTAGGAAAAATGGTCATGAAAACAGCAAAACGTAACAAAACATTGAGGTACTTTATTAGAGAACTCAAGGCATCTTGGATCCCCCTATTAATTGAATAAAGGATTAGTCTCCTCATAACAATTCTTGGAACGCTTCTGAAATGAAAAACGTTGCACTCTTTCGCGTATATTATGCCTTTTGTCTTGCTTCCAATAATTCGAGTGGGCTACAATGCGTTCATCTTTCGACACAATTTTCCAACACTCTTTCGGAGAGTCGCATTTGATCTATTTTAGGGTTAACTACCCCATTTCCGGCCTATTAAGCACAACCCGCACTTAGTCTTTCATAATCTAGTGCAGTTTAGCACCAAACGGAATGTTATTATTACTGATGGCTTCCAAATTTATTTACCTTTCCGTAGGTACCGTAAGATTTAATAAAGAGAAACCAATCGTTGAGATATTGTCATAAGTCTAACACTGCTTCTTGACGCCAAACTCGGCCTACGGATTCTTAACTCGGCCTAACGCATTGAAACGCCATTTAAACGCCAATGAATTCACTTCGGCCTATCGGATGAAGATAAAAATTGATTCGGTCGGAGCGCTTCTTTTGTTTTTGGGAATAATGGGTGCAAACCTTCATATCACGCGTTCTCATTAACTTCGTTCGGAAGCTTATAAACTAAAGTATCGTACCAAACGCATATATAATTGACTTGTTAACTTTGAAATCATGGATTTATTTGAAGTTTTCTGCTCGATAGGCCCAAAATGGGCGATTAGGCCGAAGTAGTTCTCTCCCTACTTGGTGAGATTTTCATCTTTTCCTCGCACTGGCATCCTTTTTAATTTCTTTCGATGTTCTCTTCCGCTTTTCCTGTGTCATCCTTGCGTCTCCAAAGAAGCTGCCATCAGAATCTACTGGATTCTCTTCGTCAGTTGAAGAAGATTCAAGCGGATGACCCAGCGTCTTGTAGATAGTCTACGCAGGTAGTGTTTGTGTAGAAGACGATGATGTTGCAGTTTGGAGCTCTCCTCTGTCTCATTATCTAAGTCGACCCTGACCAAATCCTCACTGGAACTAGAATCACCATGGTATTGTTTCAGCAAACTGAGCGAATCCATTTTACAATCAATTTCTACAACAGCACAAATTTAGAACTACCAAAACACAGCAACAAAAATGTAATATCGATCAACGTAATTCAAGCTGATTTATGAAATATTGATGTAATAGCTTAAAGCAGATACAATATTACATCAATGGATGTAGTTTTGTTCGCAAAATCAGTATACATACTTACCTTACCAATCAGGCTAAAGCCTTGTTGTCCTCTGCTGTCTGAAGAAGTCGTCTTCACTCTCCTAGATCCATGGCCACGCCTCGCCAGCCTCATAGTCTGCGAAGGGTCCGCAGGTCGATCCACGTTGCCCGCTGCGCGCCTCTTCTTCTTGTTCCTGCTTTCGAGAACCATTTTCACTGGGTCGTTGTGCGGCATTCTTACGACGTGCTCAGCCCACTGTTGTGCCTAAACGTTTGGTTTGTGATATCTGGAGAAGGCAACCTTACAGGTTCGCGTAGTGGTTACTGAATGAATCTCTATTTCCATATCTTAATTCTAGAAACCTTCACCCAAGCCTAACTCTACACTAGTAACTTATTCTATGGGAGGTGACCTTACTGGTCTCCAAACATAGTCAACCAATCACATCAATTTGTCACGGGTTCTGGTTACTTGTTATGGCGTTCCATTCTTCATAGTACGTACAATTGACGAAGGGTGCCGAAAAGACATAGCGAAAGAATTTAGGTCTGTTGTTTTCCGGGTCAGAGTCATAGTCGATGCGTTTATTTGTAAACGCATTATGGGTCATACGGAAACAAAACATGTGGTTGTAATAATTTGAGTGGTTGTATTTTTGACGATAAGGTACGGAAGGTACTTATGTTTGGTGTTTGCTCTTTTGAAGTGACTGTCGTATGTCAACTTGGAGGGTCTAGCAAAAAGGTCTCTGTGGAATTTGAGATTGTAGCATGTCATGTCATGAGTCATGTTACACCACGCGAATTTCTCTGCTGGTATCATATTCGGCGGTCACCCCAAATACACGAACTCGTCGACCACCTCGATTTCGTCACCGTCAATCTAAACTCCGGGTGGGAGGCTAACATTGTCTTCCCTAAAACTTCTTCCTCTAATGTATTTCGCCTTGGATGCGTTGATGGCAACCCTAATAACAATGTTATGGTTAATTTGCTTAACGACGTGTTCGGGGTATCATCCAAACCATTTGTGGAATAGTTCAACCATTTGGTTTATCGTTCGTGTATGGTATTTTTTATTAGGGTAGTCCAATCCGCCTAGCTTCAGCCTTCAGTCTGATGTACGTTTCCACCATCGTTTCATAGTTCCGTGCCATTTATGCCGATATCATCGGCGAAGCCAAGAAGCTGGATGGACTTCCTGAAGATCGTGCCACTCGTGCCTACCCCAGCTCTTCTGATCACACCTTCTAACGCGATGTTGAATAGCAGTCACGAAAGTCCATCACCTTTCCGTAGCCCCCTTCGAGATTCAAAGGGACTCGAGGGTGTCCCCGATACTCGAACAACGCACATCACTCACCTTGACCAATCGCGTCAGTTTATCCGGAAATACGTACTCGTGCATAATCTGCCATAGTTGATCTCGATCGATTGTGTCGCATGCGGATTTGAAATCGATGAACAAATGATGTGTGGGCACAACATATCATTGTACCTAATACTGCGCACTTGAAGATTGACTTTTTGAATCATCCCTATATTAAACCGAAGACATCACATCAAGAAGACTGGCAACTTTGCCAGAATCCAAGCGGCAGATACAGTAGCGCTGCACTTGAGTGAAGGACAATTCTGAGGTGATTTGCTTGGGAATTCTAAAGAAAATACAAGCGAATTTGAATAAGAACTATGCAAGGAAGCTTCTGTGAACTCCTAGAAAAAATCTTTATAATTCGGAGAAAATCGAAGGATGAATTTCATGTTTTTTTCTAATTTTCGATAAATCCTAAAGAGAATTTCAAACTTATTTTAGAAGAATTCTGAACTGCGGAGTGAAATGATTCTTATGGAACTGCTTGAGAATATTCAAATAAAATCATGTCAAGAGTTTTGAGTGAATTTTCAAGGTGGCGTAGCCCTAACCTGAGACTACGCGTTCAAAAAAAACGGAAACAAATAAAAAGTTATTGCATTAAATCGATGAAAAAGTGAAGCTAGTAGACCCTATGCAATTTGGGATCGATTTGAATATAGTTATGACTCTAAATTACGATTTCAAAGTTGTTGAATAGATAAAAAGTGAGGTTTCAGACGCCACTGGTTAAAACATAGACACATTTTAAAGAATTCGAACGCAGATCCAAATTTTACTCAGGAAAAATGCTACTGTCCTAGTAATGACCCATTTAGCCTAGTGATCCCTTCGAGTTTCAGGTTTATGCTTAATTTTAATGTATATCGCACAACCGGGAAAATTTCCCAAATTCCGGAAAAAAACGGGAAATTGCTAAACTGGTCACCATGTAATCTCCAGGTGGATTTGTAGACCATTTCACGAGAGGCTGTGATGTTCAATCATCCTTGGCCGTTGACCCCGGTTATCGGTCCAAACGATTACTGTCTGACTGCCTCTCATCTTATCTGAGCGTTTATGTCACCGATGACAATGCTCACGTTACGTTGAGGGCAGTCGTTTCGTACACACCTGCTGCAGCTGCCAGTAGAAGACTTCGATCTCATCGTCGAGTTTCGATTTGTGGTTCGATTTGTCCACCATACACACAACAGTTGAAGTCTACTGAACACGTCCCTGAATGCATTTATGAAAACGTTCAATCTTCTCGGCGTATTATTGAAAGTCCTAGAGAGACAGCGGTCCTAGAAGTTCTTTGGTATTGAAGATCTCTGAACAAGTTTACCGGGCTTAACCGAAATGCTAAACCTGCCAGAATACTTGATGAAACTGATGAAAGGAGATTTTCAAATACTCTTGCCCTGCATAGTTTAGACAGCCCTCGCCTCGAGGTAGTGCGGCAGGAATACGGAAGAAGTAAACTCCCGGAGAAAGAGCGAACTCAGAGGATGACTTTTTTGTTCGTGGCAAGAGCTTTCACTTTCGTTATGTTCCCCTTAAATCACGAGCTGTGAGGCTCGGTGGAATGATTAATGACAAATTTTGAAAGTAGGAATTATACTCCTCAGAAAAATGCTAAGCTCGTCTCATTTTAGACTCGCGAGTGAGACTCCATCAAGTCTGCCTGGAAGTCCTGTAGAATTTCTCAAAGTTTCACTGTGTCTGGAATTTATTTTGACTTCAAATGCGTGCAGTTCTTTGAATCATTCTAAGATTTAAGATCGAACCTTTGTGCCACCTTACTCTAGCTTTCTAGCGTCTAACAAAACACTTCTTCCGCAGATTGAACAACTAGTACACGAGATCAATCCCACGTACTTCAATTACAATCAGCGCAGCGAACAGGGAACGGTCATTACCAAGCGGCGAGGTTTACTGACCGTGGAAACCGATCAGGGTGAACATTCCATCGAAATGGACAATCTCCAGCTGACATTTGTGCCGGAGGTCGGCGACTACGTTGTCCTGGACTGTCTGGTTCAAATAGATGAAACCTACTTTGACACTCGTGGCAACATCTTGGAAGTACGGGGAATAGCACCCACGCGGACAGTACAGGGAACTGGTTTTGTCACCAAAGCCGACGCCGAGGGTGGCGAAATTCGAACCGATGACGGAATGTACACCTATCTTTCGGATGTTTGCGAAGGTGGTATAACTCCAAATCAAGGCGACAAAGTTATCTTCGAGGCAGTAGAAAATGCTCAGTTAAACTTCCGCTGCATAAAGCTAGTTATCGAAACGGCAGCAGTACGTTCGGTTGACGGTAGTACCAAGGCAGAAACGGCAACAAAATTCGATGACGACTTTTTCTTGGACAAACGTGGCATCAAGATTACCGACGACTTGGACATAAAGCTTGATAACCTAAACGAGCGTAAGAAGTTGGACGTGGTCATTAGGAACGAAGGTGATCGGCAACACAAGCTTATGCGGTCTGTTTTCATGTCGAACAAGCAAACCTCCCAAATGCGTTTGCTACATCCGAAAGTAACCGATACTGCTGTCCTGCAGCCTGGAGATGCGGTGACATACACATTTGAAATTACTGCTGCAAACTTTGGCGTTAGCAAAGAGGTCTTCATGTGGGCGTTTGGAGGGGGATTTAAGATAGCAAGATACGTTACCGTAACTGTTGGAGATGCTGAGACGATCAGTACTCAGGTGAAATATAATGGGACAACTCAAGCTCGCACGGCCGCTGGTTCCCATAAGTTGGCCGCTTGGAACGTGTATAAGCGAAGTGGCGAAATAACACCTGGACAGAAGCTAAGCAAAAAAGCCAACTTCATCGACATTAAGATAGGTTTGTACATAGCTTAGATCAAGTTCAAGCAGGCATATAAATAAATAAAACTTATTTTCAGGTGGCTATCAAGTTCCAGACGAACTGAAGCAAATTATGTTGAATCCATCAATGAGCCGAAATCAGATCGATGAAGAGTTGGAGCGATCTCAGCGCTGTTTGCAGCGCCCTCTGGGTCCAGAAAACTACAAAGCTGTATTCAAAACATTCCTTTGGATGGAGGACGTACAATGCGAGATATCGATTGCCCGGTTCAATGTCGATCGAGCGCATTTTAGTCGGGAAGACAATTATCTTGCCTTGCGTATAGAAAATATTGCTGAGAGCAGACCTTCGTTGATTCCCGGCGATAGGCTAGTGGCAACCACACCTTGGGTCAACAACCAGGGATTGGCAAATGGGGCGTTCATTCATAAAATATTGAAACACAAAATTCTCGTAAAGTTCAGCGAACACTTCCACGAGATGTACAACGGAGAGGATCATAAAATTACGTTTCAACCAACCCGGGGTGCTTTCCAGAAACAGCACCATGCAATCAACTGTGTCACGAGTGCTATGGGTTTCGATTACCTTTTTCCAACTAAGACAAACATTCGGGAGCCGTGGATGGATTTAAAAATTAACGAAAATGGCAAGTTAGCGATGAACGAGTTCGAAAATGAATTTAATTGGCAAAATCCCATGCTGAACCCCATTCAAAAGGAAGCCATAAAGAATATTCTTCGCTCCGAGGCGAGGCCCCTTCCCTACATAATCTTTGGTCCTCCAGGAACGGGTAAAACTATGACCATGATCGAGCTGATTCACCAGATCGTGAAGCTGTCCGCCGACAGTCGAATAATGGTTGCCACCCCATCGAACAGTTCGGCCAATCTAATTACAGAGAGAATAATCAATGCCAAAATTCTACGTCCTGGAGAATTTATTCGAATTGTCGGATTGAATTATGTCGAACAGGAATTGGTCCCGGAACATCTTGCTCCCTATTGCGGTACGGTTGATATTGCATCTGAGCGAACCGTGAAAGGCGAAGTCATTACAACCGAGTCTGGATTGAAGCACAAGTTGCAACTGAAACACTTGGGTCGTCACAGAATTACAATCGGGACCTGTGTCACTCTCGGTACGCTTATGCAAATCCGTTTTCCCCGGAATCATTTCACCCACGTTTTAATAGACGAGGCAGGTCAGTGTTTGGAAACGGAAACACTAATCCCCATGACCTTTATCAACCAACATTGCGGAACAGTTGTACTTGCGGGTGATCCAATGCAGTTGGGTCCAGTTGTGATGAGTAGTCATGCTGCAGACCGTGGATTCGGTACATCTCTTCTGGTTCGTTTGATGGATGCACCACTGTACAGAACGGACAAAACTCGGTTCCCCAAGACCGGCGGATATAATCCACGGCTAGTGACAAAGCTACGGTACAACTACCGTTCGGTTCCCAGCATTCTCGACATTTACAGTGAACTGTTCTACGAGTCTGCGCTGATTGCTCGTATTCCTGTCGAAGGAAGTGAAGAAGCAAAGTTCCTCGATTCAGTTTATGACATTCTTCCAGTAAAGACGGTCCAAAAGCCGCAATCTGGATTCATTTTCTGGGGTGTCAACGGAGTCAACAAGCAAACCCCGGACAGTCCCTCATGGTTCAACCCAGCAGAAGCCAAGAGTGTATTCAATCTGTTATTGAAGCTCTACAAGAAAGGAGTCCGCCCAGAGGACATAGGCGTCATTACCCCGTACCAGCAACAGGCGAAAACAATTCGGAGAATTTTGGAAGAAAGCAATCTGCAGAAACCAAAAATCGGTAGCGTGGAGGAATTCCAGGGCCAGGAACGTATGGTTATTCTGATATCTACTGTGCGAACATCTAAATCTCAACTCGTAAGCGATCAGCAACATGCTCTTGGTTTCGTGTCCAGTCCGAAGCGATTAAATGTGGCAATTTCACGTGCTCGGGCGTTGCTGATCATTTTCGGCAGTCCACAACTTCTCTCGGCGGATAAACTTTGGCAAAAGTTGCTCTACAAAGCAATTGACAATGGTACGTATTGTGGATGTGATCTACCAGATCATTTGGCACCCCATTTGATAACCGATCGGGCCATAAATGGTGACAATCAGACGGAGGAGGAGCGCTAAGTGTTGGTGGAACAGGTATTAATAAGGAATATTCGTAAATAAACAGATGAAACTAAATCCTTTTGGATTGCATTCATTTAATATCACATTGCTCTACAGTCATTTGAGATGAAGCCCTACACTAAAAGTATGGACGTCTTTAAAAAGTTGTTCCAATCGAACCGTCAAAATGCACCGCTTTGCTCGATTGGAAATTGGAACAGCTTTTTCCAGTTTTGTGGTGACAGTCGTCCATACTTTAACTAGAGGGCTTTAATTTGAGATGGTGTTAAGGAAGTTAAGGTAAATCAAAAGCAACAGCAGGTAATGTGTATAAATTATGGTTCTTTTAAGCTTACATACACTGAAAAAAAGTTTTCATATAGTTTCCATTGGGAACGCACATGATATTTTTCCAATAACAAATTTAATGATTTTTATCTGAAATTCACATAACATTCACATGATCACATGAATTCTATGTTATAAATCACATAAACTTCATTGGACACATAAGGTTCATATGATTTCGTGGTGCGATTCCCAATTATGAGATCACATGAAAGTTATGTGAAATCCTAATGGATATTTTCCATCGGAAATGTGATTTATTTTTTTAGTGTATTTCAACCAATGACAAAATACATTAGGCCCTGAAACAAAAATCAATTTTTCTGCGTGCAGAACCCTAATAAAAATAACCATAAAAGAGAGCTTAACGACGTGTTTGGGGTATCATCCAAACCATGTATGGGATAGTTTACCCATCCGGGATGCAGTTCGTTTAAGGTATATGTTTATTAGGGAAGGTCCCGAAGAAACGTGCTCAACTTTCTGGCTCAGCTCTGGTACGCTCTTCTGTCCCAAGCTAATCGATGCACCCCTCGAAATATAGGAAAATCCACGAACCCCTCATTTTATCTGTCAAACTTTCATACACGGCGAATGAGAACGACTCAAATTTGAGTTTAGTTCACTCATAATCGCCAAAAGTGCAGGAACTCAGTGATGAGTTAATTTGCCTCATGTTTTTCCAGGATTTTCCAGGGAGAAATTCCTGAATGTAAGAAAAGTAAAGATTGCATTCATTCAGTCTATTGGTACTACTAGGAGACTGAATAAAATTTTCTTCAATTTCCTCATTTTCCGGCAGATTTTTTAGGTTTTCCACAGGAAACCATGAGACAAATTTTACTCATCGCTGAGTTCCTGCACTTTTGGCGATTATGAGTGAACTAAACTCAAATTTGAGTCGTTCTCATTCGCCGTGTAGCGAATCAAAACAAACATTGTGTCGAGCATTGTGTACCCAACAAACAATTAAAGTCACAAGTAAGCATACACATGGAATAAATGCTGTATAACAGTGTACAAAGCTGAATAAAACAGGATGCCGAATTATGTGCTGAAAAAAAAAGCTCATTGAGATCGATAGATGCGCCTTTATTCCGCCGTTTGCTCTGATATGATTAATTTACTTATTAAAAGCTTTATAAACGTTGACTGTCTTCCTGATTCAGAACCAGAAGTTTGTTCTAATAACAAACTGAATAAGTGTAATTTGCACATACATTGTAGCTTTAATTCGAATGTTTTCAATTGATTTAATAAAATACTTTATTAGACGCCTTATAAATGTTTTCTAGCTTCATTATTAGATTGCATTGCATTACTTTACAATATTGCTGAATAAAGGTGAATACAGTCAGAATAATTGCTCTTATACCACTATGCGTCCATGTTGTAATCACATGATTTGTAAATGCTTTATAAATGACGTATTAGATTCATTATTCGACACCACTTATTCAGTCTAACAACAAGGCGAAATCAGTAGAATAGTGGTTACCGATTCCGCTTTCCAAGTAGAAGGTCGTGAGTTCAATCCCAAGCTCAACCCTTTTTCTATATGTGTTATACGGCTAATTAATTTAAATAGTAATCATCGATCACATGACTCACGACAATGAATGCATTGATCTAGGTTAAGGGGAGGTTCATTTGGATTTGGCCGAAAATCGTGCAAACTTTGCGAATTTTTTGTGGGAAAACGAAAAGATATACAAAGTTGTGCTATTGAGTTTTAATGCGTTATACATTGATGACTACAAAATGTTTTTTGTTTTTGAAAAATTCAAAATGGCGGATCTCGTCGGCCTCTGCGCACGAAACAATGTCCCTTGCTGTCAATTGTGGGGCCTTCCGTGGTAAACTGAAATGAGTAACTGTCATATATTATGAAAATACATAAAATTTCCTACGGCATATACCTAACCTAAACAAATTTTTAACGAAAAAAAACCTAACTTTTTGGACATTAAATGCCAGTTGTGATGTAGCGGACCAAAGTTTGTTTTGATTTAACTACTAGCCAAAATTAAATAATTATGTAGTTTAGAATTATAGTATAAAATATGAATTGTTTCTTTTAAATAATTGAGTCTAATAGTTACAAAAATGTAAAAAATTAATTTTCATTATTTGGCTCAAAATTTTTGAATGCTACATCACACAGATAGGGTTAAATACCCCATTTCCGGCCTATTAAGCACAACCCGCACTTAGTCTTTCTTAATCTAGCGCAGTTTAGCACTAAACGGAATGTTATTGTTACTGATGGCTTCCAAATTTATTTACCTTTCCGTACGTACCAAAAGATTTGATAAAGAGAAACCAATCGTTGAGATATTGTCAAAAGTCTAACACTGCTTCTTGACGCCAAATTCGGCCTACGGATTCTAAACTCGGCCTAACGCATTGAAATGCCAATGAATTCACTTCGGCCTATCGGATGAATATAAAAATTGATTCGGTAGGAGCGCTTCTTTTGTTTTTGAGAATAATGGGTGCAAATCTTCATATCACGCGTTCTCATTGACTTCGTTCGGTAGCTTATTAACTAAAGTATCGTACCAAACGCATAATTAACTTGTTCGCTCTGAAATCATGGATTTATTTGAAGTTTTCTGCTCGATAGGCCCAAAATGGGCGATTAGGCCGAAGTAGTTCTCTACCCTACTACCTTTGAATTTGGCTTGATCGAGTGGCGATTTTGTTTTCTCTTTTCTTTTATTTAGATCAATACGATGCAGTTTTGAAGAAAACAACGATATCAACTATATTCCTTCTCGGATGAAGACAGCGAAGATGATTTCCTTATGAGCGAATTTGAAGACGACGAGAGCGCAAACAAAACGACTGTTCTACCGCAAATCACTCTTTACTACTACTATTCAATATTACTTCCTCGATTTCTCGTAAAATAGTCAGTCATTCATCGGTTTCATTTATTAGCATTCAGTGGAGTTTTTGCTTTTATTTGTACCACCTTTGGTGCCTTTTAAGTTATTGTTTCGGACGGAACTCAGCGGTCAAAATAAAAAATGGACTGTATAGTTTTTTGTTTTTTACATCCGTACTCTACGGTAACTTTAATATACTGATCCTTTCTCTGCTGCCCTGCTCCAACCGGAAGACGCGTAACAAGAAAATCAAGTTAGGGAACTGTCAAATTGCGCTTGAGGGATAGGACATCGACCTACTCTACACTGAATCAAAAATACAGGTTTAGAATTTTCACTTAACATCCTCCCCCAGGAGCCGGATGGCTCAACTTATCCGTTTGGCTGGTCCGTTCTGCATCTTCTATGGGTAGAACAGCAATTTGCGTTGTAGATCGCTTGTACGTGCCATTGTTAGTTCGTACGGTTACTACCCGAACAACGCCATCATTTCCAGGGTGAGTTTTGATAATACGCCCCAGTTTCCAAGTTTGCGGTGGCAAATTATCATCTTTCATTATCACCAACAGTCCTTCACGAAGCAACGTGGGAGTTTTGTTCCATTTGCTGCGCTTCTGTAGTCCGGTTATATACTCACATGACCATCTTTGCCAAAACGATTGCTTTCGTTTTTGGATCAATTGGTAACGAGACAACGTATTTTCCTTGAGACCATCGTAGAACGGTTCGGCTATAGCTGTCAATTCTCGGCCAACCAGGAAATGACCAGGACTTAACGCCTCATAATCCATCGGATCGTCGCTTTGTGGTATTATTGGCCTTGAATTTAGGATGGATTCAATCTGAATCAGCAATGTTGTCATCTCTTCATAGGTGAAGTACGATTCGTTCATCACCTTATACAGATGACTCTTCATACTTTTTACTCCGGCTTCCCAAAGTCCACCTTGGTGCGGAGCCTTCGGTGGATTGAAACTCCACGAGATTCCACGAGGCTGACAAAAATCTTCAAGCTTGTTCTCCAGCAATTGAGATTTCAGCAACTCTCGCAATTCGGCCAATTGTCGCTCAGCGCCGACAAAATTGGTTCCATTATCAGAAAACATCTCACTGACGTTCCCACGGCGTCCAACGAAGCGGTGCAATGCCCCCAAGAATCCCTCTGCAGATAAGGAACTCACAAGCTCAAAATGTATCGCCTTAGTAGTCATACAGACGAAAACACTAACGTACGACTTGATCGGTGTCTTCGACCGACCTTGCTTCAACAAAAAAGGGCCTGCGTAGTCTACTCCCGTTCTAGCGAAAGGCTGAGCAGCGGTGACGCGTGCAATCGGCAAATCACCCATAAACTGCTGTACATCCTTCGGCTTTAGTCTGAAGCATTTGATGCACTTCCCTAGGACGCGTTTGATCGTACGCTTCGCATTTACTGGCCAAAATTGTTGCCTGATTTTAGCCAATAATCCATTTAGACCGACATGTAGTTCTTCACGGTGGATTGCTTCGATGACAATATCAGTAAAGTTCTTCTTCTCCGGCAATATCAATGGATGTTTCTGATCGAGCGGTAGTATGGCATTCCTGATTCGACCACCCACACGCAGCAATCTCTCCGTCTTATCAAAAACAGGATTCAAATTTCGTAACTTACCCTTCACCGGTTCACCTTTCAAGACGCTTCTAATTTCATCGCGATACACTGCATTTTGTACAATCTTCACCATAGTGTACAGTGAGTCACGAAAATCTGCAATGTTCAATCTTCCACGACGAAATTCTGATTCGTTTCGCTTTGCACGACAATTACGGATAAACCGGGTTACGTAACCGAACACTCTTT